CCTCTTGTCTGGCTCGTGACCGGTACCACCTCCGGAATCGGTGCCGCTCTCGTCACCGAAATCGCCGCCCGCGGCGACAAGGTGGTTGCATCCGGGCGCAAGGTCCAGGAGCGCATTGGACATCTCAAGTCCGACAACATCGCACTCCTTGAGCTGGACATCACTGCAGATACCCCTACCATCAAGACCAAGATCCAGGAGGCCTGGGACATCTTTGGACACATCGACGTGTTAATGAACAATGCCGGAATGTCTGCCATGAAAAGTGCTGAAGAGTCCGAGTAAGTCCATAGTCATGCCCAAATGTGTGCGACTTTTATTGAGTGGCGGCATACACGACAACTATGAACCAACATTCTAAGATCTGATCTCTTCCCAGTGACGAATTCCGCCTCAACATGTTCCAAGTAAACACATTCGGCCCCATGCGGGTAACCCAGGCGATACTCCCACTCCTCCGCTCTCAGGGGAAGGGAACCATAGCCTTCACCTCTTCCAGCACCGCTTGGACTCAGACGCCGTTCATGTCGCACTACGGCGCCTCCAAGGCCGCGCTGAGCGCCTACATTGACTCCCTCGACAAGGAAGTTGCGCCCCTCGGGATCCGCTGCGTCGCGTTTGAGTCCGGTGCATTCCCCACTCACCTAGGACAGCCGAGGGAGCAGGCACAGCCGGCCCCCAGCAGTGGCCCAGCGGGCATTGCTGCATATGCGCCCTTGTTCAACGATCTCATGGGGACGTTCGCCTCGGATATGATGGGGCACATGCCGGGAGACGTGGCAAAGGCTGCGGCGCTGATCGTCGACGTCGTCAAGCGGGAGGGGAAGGCACAGGGAAAGGCGTGGACGACTCATGTCGCTCTAGGCACGGATGGAACGGAGGCCGCGAGGCAGAAGTGCCGAGAGATGCTACAGATTCTTGACGACTGGTCTGAAATCTCTGCTAGCACCGACCGTGAGGGGCAGGAGCATGTTGCTACGAAGAGGCTGTTCAAGTTTACGACCATTCTTTAACGTCTGCGCGAGAGGTAATAGGCGAGCACTGGGAAGGTTGTGTTGGGTGACTCAACATAGCTACTAGTTAGACTTTTATAGTGACTGTTCACGTATCTTTGAAGTTAGTCCTCATTATTCAGAAATGTTCCGGCTTGCCTGGGTATACTAGACACGTGAAGCGAGTTAAGTTGATACCCGAATCCCCGTAGAATTGAACCACATGAGACGAGAAGCCAGGTTTAGAATTTGACGTAGTGCAGGCTTATTGCCCCGTAATAGACACATGATACTGAGTTGACTGTAGATCTCCGCCCCCATACCTTGGTGCTCCAGCCTATGATATCCCTGTCTCAATCAGGCGGCCGCGGTGACATTCCCTTGTCCCTTCCGCACCCCTTCTTCTAACCATCGCGTCCTGAGTGCGTGTGCCGCGGCCTTGGGCTTCCTGTCGCGCGTAAAGACTCCCTTCTTGTTTCCGTCGACGCGGTAGATGCTCTTCGAAGCTGTCTGGAAACCGGCAAAGTTCCAGACATGCTCGCCAACGACTGACTCGATCCGATCAAAGACCCGATGGGACATCTGCAGAAGCTGAGTCTGGTACTCCTCGGACCACGGAACGGCGATGACTGTATGTGTACCGGCTAGAGTATCCGCACCGTACTCCGACATGATGATAGGCTTTCCGTACTTGTCTTGCCACTCGTTGAGCTCCTGCTCGAGACCTATCTCAGCTGACGCCAAGTCTCCGGTGTTGACATACCAGCCGTAGTACCGGTTCAGACACATGACATCAAAGAGATCCATTATACGGTCTGCTTCGGGAGTGGCGTACATAACGTTTGCGAAAGTCATCGGCCTCGTCGGATCAAGCTCTCGAGCCAATTCCACCAAGGGCTCGAAATACGCGCGTGCCCCTTCCTCATTAGAGGCCGGCTCGTTGGTCAAACTCCACAGAACTACTGATGCGTGGTTCTTGTCTCGATGAATAAGCTCCCGGATAGTTTGGGCATGGACCTCCCGTGTCTGATTGTTGATAGTCTTCTCAGAGAATGTGAGAGTCGGTTCGTCTGTAGAGGTGCCTGCGCTGAGCCCAATGTTCAGACCAACAGCAGGGACTTCATCGATTACGACGATGCCATGGCGGTCGGCATAGTCCATCACCTCCTCTGCGTACGGGTAGTGAGACGTCCTGAAGGAGTTCGCGCCTATCCACTTCATGAGCTGGAAGTCGTGGATCATGTAGGCAGGGTCGTATCCCTTGCCCCGAACCGGAGAATCCTTGACAGTGACGCATTCGTCAGTCCCTTCCCCGTTCCATAGCCAAGAATAACGGATTAAAACTTACCTCGTGCTTTCCAAATCCAGTCAAATAGACTGGGCTACCGTTGATGAGGAATTCGTTGCCTCGAACCTCCACTGATCGCACGCCTACCGATACCTCGTAGCTATCGAGAAGGGTATCCTTGCCTTTAGCAGACAGAAGCTCCACCCGCAGGCGGTATAGGTACGCCACTCCCGGCTGCCACAGATGTACAGAGCTCAATTCCAAGCTTCCTTGTAGCGTCGATGCACTGGCCACCTCATTCCCTTCCTCATCGAACAACGTGACCCTGGGCCGGGAGCTTTTTGGATCTTTGTTGGTAGTAGCGGAGAAATTGATGGTGGCACCCTTGCCTTGGTCCTTAACCTCGGTGGTGACTGTGATATCGTCGACATAAACCTCACCCACGGAGTAGAAGGACACGGAGCGCGCTATCCCTGCGTAGTTGAAGAAGTCGTGGTTGTAGAGCTGCCTTCGTTTGCCGGTCTCATCGACCTCGACATTGCCAGGGGGAATCGTTTGCGAGGTTAAAATATTGTTGACGGCAACTGTCAGGCGGAACTGCTCTCCCGGTGCCACAATGTCTGTCACGTCCACTTCGAATGGTGTATAGCCGCCGATGTGTCCTGCCACATCTCGATCATTGATGAAGACCCGTGCCTCGTGCGTAACGGCGTCGAACCGCAAGATGTTGCGCCTCTTGGACTATCCGGCAGGAACAGTCACCTGGCGCTGATAGTACACCCATCCGACAGTATCCCGGATGTTCTGGTCGGCGAAGATGTCGTTGTAGCTGGCAGGTACAGGGATTTGGAGGCTGGGGGGGATATTCTTGGTCCAGGCCTTGTCCTCTTCGAGGTCGATGGATGTCGGAAGGGCGAAGTTCCAGATACCGTCTAGGGAAACGAGCTCCCGGGCTGCATTGGCTTGGGGCTTCAGGGTTTTCCAGTTCCCTCCATCTGCACAAGACGACAGGCCGGTCAAGGCGAGAAGGACGAGGACGGCCGAGGGGCGCAAGCGAGGAATGCAAGATGGAAACATGATGGATAGACTAGAGTTGGCAGCTCAAGTTGATTTCATGATAGTCTGGTTCTTTTTTCTCGTTGTTGCGAGGGCATTCGCTCTTTAATATCTCGAGTCCTTGGATTGGAAGCCTCCCGGTGAGTGCTCTGACTTAGACCACTCGCGAAGAACCTCACCTGGAGTATTACCTGCGCTAATCTTAATCCGTATCCTCCGCTTTCTCCTCTTCCTGATATCCGGGCTTCTCTTGTCGGTGTGATCTACCCTTCTCTGTCCCTGCCTCACCAGCATATTGCGTTTATTCTCTCTTACTCGCAGTGTGCTGATTTCTTCTCCGCGTTATCCGCATTATCCGCCTCGTGGCTTTATCCGTGTTATCATTCCCCAATCCTCTTCGCCCCCGTCTCTCCAAATTCCCCACATTTCCCCCCGGCAATGTTCTAGCCCCGGTTGCGTTATTTGTGCATGTCAGAATGTAAAACACTTCCCAATCCGGATACTACAGAGGTAGAATGAACAGGAATCGCATTAGGGGGTTATAATGTTTCGACAACTAAGGCCCGTTGTCGATATGTTATCTGCGAGAAGAATATAGTAGGAAGAGTGGATGGAATTTAGAGGCATACAAATACACCATTATATTCAGTATCGATCAGTTCATTAACTCAGGGCTGATATTCCAAGGCAACCCTCTTCTCCTCTTCACGCCATCCTCACTCCGACCTTTTGTTACTAGGAAGCAAGGGAATTCTCCGCTTCCCCAGACTTCCTACCCCAGCCCCCCAGTGCACTCGGTAGTTTGAAATGGGCTGCAGATCATACCCCAAAAGGTTAGTCCATGGCTTCGTTCAAAGGGTCCCCGCACTTTCGCCAAACCTCTTCCGCGGATCCCCACAGGTGAGCCAAGCCCGGGTCGTCGGATTCCCACAGGTCAGATAAGCTTCCCTCCGCGGCACCCCGCTCTTCCGTCAAGCATGTTTACTTCGCGTATCCCCGCTTTTGAGCCAAGCCTACGGAGTACTCCCCGGATTCTCAACCATCCCTCTTACGATCCCCGCATTCCCTCTGGCCGTATTGCGCGAATCCCCGCAGCTAAGCCATGCCTATTCCCCGGATTCCCACAGTTCAGTCAAGCTTCTGTCAATGTGGTCCCCGCTGGTATGCCAAGTTTTACTCCACCCCTTCCGGCAGTACGACGGCTTTGTCGTATCCTTAATCGTACGTTTCTTCGGGAGTGCTGTCTTACGCAGGTTGGTTACCAATTGCCTGTGCTATCTTGTACGGCAAGAATTCCGTGTCACTTCCTCGATGAAGGCCAGATGATCGCCTCCACGTACTGATACAGTTTGAGCGGGAATCTAAAGCTGAATAACACGGCAGAATAAGTGTAGGCAGCGAGACTAGTAGCGCTGGGGATATTGCTTTAGTCTAGGTGGAGGGGTTCAAAGGCGGGAATATGCGAGTACTATGAATAAGTGGGGCACATTACAATAAGTAAAGAGCATTACTGACTTGTGATTATGTTACCTACCAACACAGACTGAAGCTTTTTGAATAACTGTCGCATAGACTTTTGTATTTCCTGCAGCTAGCCTAAGTCGACTAAATGTGAAAAATGTATTACACCCATGGTACGGCGGGGGTGCAGATGAGCAAAAAGTTCTCCCGAACCTGAATCGAACAGGTGACTTTCTGATGAAACCGTGCAATTACAGTCAGACGCCATGAACCAACTAGACCATCGGGAGTTTGCTGTTATTTTCTCCAGGCCTAGCGTCCAGTAACATGGGATTGTGCAGGTCTAGTCCTGCAGCTCTTATACTCCAGGTCCCGGCTCACAAGATATGACGCGACTACAGGAGGCACCCAGCGTGTCCAGCATTTTTTTTTGCTGGCGTCAGTGACTAGGCCAGACGGACCCATATGTTCCGGAGATATTATATTGCCTTTTACAGAATCGATCGTACGCTCGCTGCTGGGACAAAATCTCAAGGCAAGACGTAGTAGTGAAAGGTGTCTTATCTCCATTATCTGCTCGGGAAGGATCAGAACTATATACATTGTCCAGATACAGCTTCTCCAAACCTGGCAAAAAGATCCTCATAGAAACTAGTGTTCTCAAATTCCCCGAGGCAAGTAGCACATTAGTCAAGACCCAGTGGGGATGCAGTTTGCCCGATCAAGATGCTAGAGATGCTGGAGTAACAGGTAGTCGGGGCCGGTTGACAGCAGGCGCCAACATCTCGGAACCGCATCCAGAATGAAACTAAGCCCTGCAAAAACCAATATATCTGCAAACTACCTCTCCTCCTTAGTTTTTCAAACCCTTGGTTGGAAAATATCGAAACAGCCTTAACTCGATGTCCTCGGTCGGGTTTCTAGTGTCGGGTTCACTCCACGTGAACGAGTATTCGAACCCACCCTTCGCGAGAACTCTCTGGCTCCCAAAGTTGTCTGCGACCGTAAGTGCGGTGACCTGCTCTTGCACCGGCCCATCTCCGCCAGGCAAAGTGCGCGGATCAACCTTAAACTCCGTCTCCTCTCGGGGAAGTTTCGACCACATGTCCAGCCACGCGTGGAGAAACTCGGTCATGAGACCCTGACCCCAGAACTCTCTCCGGAGCATGTAGCCAATTTCGGGCCAGCCAAACATAGAGGAGACCGATAAGCAGCCGCCGATACCGATCAGCTCTCCCGTTTCCTTAAGGCAGATGGCAACGTTGAAAGTTTTCCGATCGTTTGGGGCAAGGGACAGGTCGAGCTTTGCCTGCGTCTCCTGCAGGTCTTTGTCGATTTCCCCCACGGCGGTATTAACCATGACTTCTGGCTGGGTGCGCAGCACATGAAGGCTGTGAACGTCGTCAGGAACGAGAGCCCGGATAATCAAGCGGTCTGTGATGGCTGGAGGCCGGCTAGAGTTCGGCGGCAGTGGACGGACAGGTAAGGTCGTCTTGACCGATACCCAGTCCAGCTGGGAGGTTGGTGACGATGCCATGATGTACTCTTGGGTGGTAAGTGCTGTGGATTTAGCTTTCTGGAAATTGTTGGTTAGAAATTGTATCAATATGACTCACACCTGAGGAATAAATTCCTATGTCACGGCCAGTATGTAGTACCTCATGAAAGTGAAGTGAAGAGTGTCAACTCAATGGCAGGGTCCGGTGTTCCGGATGTTGTTGAGGAAATGGTAAATTTTTATATTTCCCATCGATGGGCGGGGGAGCATTCTTCTTATAGAACATTCCAGGTCAGCATCGGTGCTGAATCCTCCCGACAAAAATGACAGATACAGGCATGAATATCCACTTGCCTGCGTCCAAAGGCTAGAGAGGCGATGCTTCATGGACCTGGAGCTTATCATGGGTGAATATCTTCACATCATGTCAAATGGGCAAGGCTGTTTCATCAGTTCAAACTTCAGCTGCCCAAATACTCGATTCTAGATTTTACTGCATTGATATTTCTGGCTGAGAGGTCAAATAGATCCCAAAAGGGAACGGTGGGAAATTCGATTGTCATGATGTTTTTCGACGCGTCAGATCGACTGAACTAGAGTGCGTGTGCTTAACTTCACGCAGAGGGGTTCATGTACGATTTAGGATTCAAACCTCATGCGACAGCTTCATGTACGATTTAGGACTCACCACGTATTACTTGTTTCTCATTGGACCATTATACCTGGCCACAGAAGGAAGGTGGTATATCCTATTCTTGATTCTCATTGGCCAACCGATGTTGCGAGTTCTTCACCTGTTATCAAGCATATGTCTCTGGGCCGGGGCCAGCAGGGCTTGGAGGTAAAATTTTAATAGTTACAGATCATTCTCGTCTTTGCAGGACCCCGCGAATTGTGCTACGGCTGTGGAGAAGTGGTTCCAGCTATTTTGTGGCTTGGCACTGAGGATCACGGTCCAGGACTTCCAGCCATGTAGGTACATTGAAACGAGAGCAAGTTCTAGCCAGATTTGTGGGATGGGATGTGCTGGAATGCGAAGGCGTTTGCATGCGAGGCAAGAACACGCAAGGCGTCTGTCTGGCCTGATATCGGGGGCTATCAACATTGGCGCTCAGAGACTCAAGGCGGCATGGGACCCGGTACCGAGACAGCGTGAGACTTACATGCTTCCCCTGCTCTACTCCCAGTCGCAGAATAGACCTTCATGCAGTAGATAAGCTGGTCATGCCATTTACCAGCCGGTAACTATCTGGCTTGACAACTTTAGAGGCGACGTCCGCGTGGTAGCTAAGCTGGTGTGTACGCCCGCGTCCACACGCACCACTCCGTGCCCTCACTATATAACACTGCCAGCCTCCTCCTCATCATCCTCCACAAAATTCCAAACGAAATACCGATTAAACTTCTCGATGAATAGAACCGTAAAATCCTCATCATGATGAAACAAGCACATATCAACCATGTGCTCCTCCAGTCCCTCCAATTCTATATCCCACCCATCGCGACTTCTCCTCTCCCCCTTCGTCTCCCCCCTCGATACCTCGGTTGGAACATAGTCCGCACCATCGACGTCAAACCTGCGGATATGTAGCACCCCAGGCCGTGGTACATCCGGCACAAGCGTCTGGTGATTCCAAGGCGGATGAAGCGTGCTTGCGCTAGGGTCCGGGCTCGCGTACCTCTGGAACCCGAACTCTTTTGTTATCGCGTTGAAGGTCGGGTAGATCACATAAGTGACGAGGCCCTCGGGCAGACTCGGAAGTCCTGCGGCCCTTAAGTCATCCTCATCGGTGGCGAAGGCCTGGAAGTAGCCCATCGCATAGAGACCGTTGCTGTCGAGGTATCCTGCTTCGTACTCAAGGAATAGGTTATCCCAGTGGGGCCCGGCACGGTCACGGATAGCCTGGGACTCGAGCCCACCCCCCTCGAGCAGCCCGGCCGCCTGTAGCTTCCAGACGTGGTATTGGTACGTAGCGACGTGCTCATCACCATCGTATTCTCTCACAAGGAGATATCGTACCGGGTGCTGGTACACCTCTTCTCCCGAGGGCGCCTTCTTTCCCGGTAGCGGTTCTAGATTCAGCCCCCCAAGGATGGTGACAAATGACCTGCCAGGCAATGAAGGGTGCGGGTATATGAGAGCATTCGCCCAGGTCATATCGAAATTGGGGCACTCTTCCCTGATCCCTTCATCTGCCTTGAAATGGAATCTTGTCAACGCTCGAGATCCATCGTGATCTAAAATACAGACCTGAAAACCGGCCAATAAGAGGAAGATCCGTCGGTCCCGAACCTCCATCGAGTCCACGTTGCTCGGGAGGAGGAAACGAGACCATGTGTTGGTTTCAATGTGGTAGATAAATCTAGCGCCGTCAGTTTCGTGTGAACGCGATAGATTTGCCTAAGAAGGAGCTCACAGTTTGCTTTCCCAGAGAGGGATGAACACCACGAGGTACTTGCTCACAGCCCTGTGCCTGAAATAACTGAAGCTCGCCCCGTTGATGTTTCCGAACGCAGGAGGCGTCTTCACCACCCTACGCGTCTTATTATACAGATTGTCCACTATTAAGTTGTCAGGACGCGCGGTCCAGACGACGTTTCCTTTCCCATAACACTCCAGGACTGCACTTTCTATCCTCGGCCAGGGCTCTGGGTACTTTCCGTCCGGGTGGAGTACGGGGTCCGGCCGGAGGATCTTCCCGGCCTCGCTATCCCAGACGGGAGGAGAATCGTCTAGTGAGTTTCGAATCATCCCCTTCGGCAGTGCGAGGCCTAGTTTGGAGGTGAATCTTCCAGCCCTGCGGCGTAAGTACTTCCGGCACGCCTTCCGGAAAGCCGAAAAGGTAAAGGGCCTTAGGAGTCCCGGAAAGAACCTTAGGCACAGCGCGGCCGCCACGGTTGGGTCCGTCCAGGTGGTCCTAGACCTCTTCGAGACCCCGGCACAGGCGAGGACATCCTCGATGAGAAGATACGGCAGGATAAGGCAGACTATATCTAGAGGCAGGTCCTCAAATCGCGCCAGACCGTCGCTGTCTCCAAGCTGGAGCCTGACTTGTCTGCGCTCCCATGATGAGAGGGCGTTGACCAGGTTGGTTAGGTTCGCTTTCTTGGCCTGTGGGTTGGTGATAGCCTGGAACTGCCTGGCGAGGGCGGTTTCGGGATTGCCAGCAAGAGTCTGGCCAAGATCCATCGGACTTCTCGGTTATTGTGGCCAAAAAAAAACTGACAATTCGTTGATAATTTAAGAAAGGCATACGATGGACCCATAACTGGCTCTTCTCAATGAAAATGTGACTTGAAATATTGTAACTAACCAGATATGCAGCAATCAGAGGTGGCTGCCTGCCAAACCCATGTAATCACAGGACCGCCCAAACAACAGCTATTTTGCCGGTAAACTGCCGGCCACCCAACATGCATGTAATCATATGCAATAATGCGTAGCATGCCGTCAGCGGCACTCACGGAGCTAACTTCCGCCCCGAGGAGCTCCCTTCCCCCCCAAACCTAAACATCATTCCGCGAGAAGCAGGACTTCCCGCCTCTCGACAATCCCCCTCCTCAACTTCCACGATGCCGCCGCCCCCGCTCGAAGACGAGGCTTCCGCCTCCTACCCCCCCTCATCTTCCTCCATCCACAGCACCTCCCCGCCGGGATCTAGTCTCCTCCGCACTCGCCGTGCGAAGACGATAGCTCGTACAGCCGCCTTCGTCTTCTCCGTAATCTCCGCCCTCTGCGCCGGGTCCATAACGACGTTTTCCCTCTACGGCCACATCCTCCAATCACGCCTT